GGTTTAGCACTCACTCTTGTGCACAGAAGGAGGGTAGGAGGGGTGAGTTCAGCTCCAGGCTGATCACCCCTCTGAGGGGGTTCCAGTGCAAATGTCAAGCTCCCGGTGCAGTCACATTACCATCAATGGGACATGATCTCAGAGGGGGCAGCTGGACGCCATGGGGATATCCTAAGACATCTAAAATGACACTGGAAACTTGTAGGCAACAGTCCTGCCTCAGATTCATGTGTGTCTCTGTGAGCTAGACACCTTGGATTTGCTTCTAGTTAATGGGAGTGATGAGCACTCATACAGAGATTTATCTCATTTTAAAATAGATAGTTAAACCAGCCTGAATGAATCACACGTTCAAACGCACTTTTTTCTCTGCATTAATTGAAAGATGATTGGGTAGCTGCAAATAGCTACATAAAAGGCATTTGCATGGGGCCAGATAAATCTCACCAAACAGCTACTGCTACTGCTGTAGCTACATGGGGTGAGGGCTTTTAGCAGCCCAGGTGCTACAAAGGTGCTACAGCCATTCACGAAATCCCAGAATGGCTGAGGTTAAAGGCACCTCTGGGCCCATCTGGTCCAGCCCCATGTCCCCAAGGAGCAGCCCCCGGCCCCTCTCAGGGCAGCCTGTGCCAGGGCTCCGGCACCCCTGGGCCCAGCGGTGCTGCCTGAGGGGCAGGGGGAGCCGCCGGGGCTCCAGGCTGGGCCCGGGGCCTCTGGGCCTGGCCCTGGGCAGCGCTGAGCAGAGCCCGGCTCCGGCCTCTCCGCACCTCCCTGCGGGTACTGACGGCCATGGGGGAGCTCCCCCGGAGCCTCCTCTGCTCCAGGCCCAGCAGCCCCAGCTCTCGCAGCCTCTCCTCACAGCACGGGGGCTCTGTGCACGGCAGCACCCTGGGGACCCTCCACTGGACTCTCTCCAGTATGTCCAGGTTTCCCTTGTACTGGGGTCCCAGAACTGGACTCAGTACTCCAGGTGCAGTCTCACTGGTGTTCAGCAGAGGGGCAGGATCCTCTTCCTTGACCTGCAGGCAATACTTTGCCTAACGCAGCCCTTTTTTTGCCCAAGGGCCCATCACTGGCTCACATTCACCTCAGTGCCGCTCAGGCCCCCCAGGTCCATTTCTGCAGAGCCGCTTTCCAGCTGGGTGCCCCCAGCCTGTCCTGGTGCTGGGCCTGTTCCTCCCCAGGGGCAGGACTTTGGGCTTCTTGTTGAGCTGCAGATTTGTGTCAGCCCCCCTCTCCTGCCTGTCCAGGTCCCTCGAGATGACAGCGCAGTCCTCTGGCATATTCAATCTTCCCAAACTGCTGACTGTATTTGTGAGCAGGACATACTACTTGTGAAGGAACATAGTCCTTCTTTGACTTTTTCATTCAACAAAATACAAAAAATCCAAGAGCCCTAGATGCATCCTAGCATCGTTTCGGCCAAGGACAAAATCTCATGTTGTATAATTCAGTGGAAAGGGGTAGATGCCTTTGGCTGGTGACTCAGACCAGTCCTACACCAGTGTGAGGGGAGCGTGGTGAAGCTGAGCTGGAAGGATCCCACCACTTGTCTGTGGCCACAGAATGATTCATTCTCCTCAAAGTCAGGCCAGGGCCGGCCCCCCCCCTTCATCTGCTGCCAACCTGAACTGTACATGAACTGCGACTTCCAGCAAAACACACTCTGTCCTATATTTCAGAGAAATTCTCTGAAATATAATTGGGCCATTTACTGAATTTTGTCTCGATAGGCAAGGCACTGAAGAGGCATTTACTTTGTGAGTCCCTTATACTCTAATTATTGTTCAAGTTACCATTGCATCAGGGCCTAACAAAAGGTGCTTAAGAAAGCAAGGAATTAGACATCAATTGTGGTTCATGGGGTCATGGAAGAAATGTAGCACACAAAAAATAACACATAGGCCATCTCTACTGTCTGTTGTTTAGCACTTGTACTCCATGAACATCCATTAATGCTAATGTTTATGACTAAATAGAACTATAAGTCAATTACAGATCCTGTTAGTGTTAATTCACAGTCAATCTATATATTTGTCTGAAGAACCACTAGGGAATTGGTATACAATAGATTTTTCTTTTTAAGTGAATGGATTTTTTTTTAAGTACAAATACTCAGGAGCTCTGCTATTCAATCTCCTTGAGTTATTATAGGAACACAGTTAGTGATCCACAAATTAGTCAAGCTCTGGTACTAGTATGATGGCAGCTACTGAAATGTCTGAGCCTTTCTATTCATGACCTGTTGCCACATGTGGATATTAAGGCAGCGAACAGTAGGATAAAACTTTCACATGACACCTTTATATTTATATTTATTTATATTTAAGTGACTGGTTACTCAAATAAATCCATCTTGCTGTAATAAGGAAAATCTAGCGCACAAATGGCACACAGTGCAAAGACAAGCATGGTAATCTTTTGGATCCAGATCAGGATCATGTGGACTTACAGCCTTCAGTCTAGATGAAATTTGCCCATCTTAGCTTGGTTCTGGGCATGAACAAATGTGTCCTGTTCTCAGCAATGCTTAGGAAAGGTTAATGTAAGGCTTTTATCTGGTTCATGTCCAGACAAATCAGGCATTGCTCCCAGGTTTACTGTGACCACATCTACACCAGCAAACTCAGCATCTCCAGAGCTCGTTCCTTTACCAGTATGACTGAAAAAGAAAAAAATATTCCTCCCTCCTATGTCTGTTTCCAGCCACATGGGCAGGAACCTAAACTTAGAAAGGTGGCCAGGAACCTAAAATATAAAAGCAATTCTTTTATCATCTCATCACACAGAATTTATCTGAGCCCATTCAACAACCTTTAACCCCCAACCACAAGTAATGCTTCTAATCCCATCTGGGTGCCCCAGACACGCAGATTCAATCTGATGTGACAAGATAACATTTCCTGCAGAGCTGTCCAGAGAAAAATCCAGTCTTTATGTAGAAAAGTAGCTCAATAGAATGCACTTTGTACAATGTGCCTTGCCACCTACTGAGGGCTTGTTGCAGAGCAAGCATCAGGCTGGGACCTGGTCTCCCAGTTCCTTACTGGTAGCCTACTGCAGGCAAGCCACCAGATTTCTGAACCAGCCCAGCAAGGCCAAAATATGACTGCTTACCCACCCAAACTCAATCCCAGAAAACTGTCCATCAGCAAAATCAGTGCTTCCCCTAGAACAAATGAGCAAATCCTGATGAAAAGTCATGTCACCTGTTTCACTCCTGAACAGACTTACTTCTAGACTAGGGTACATTTTTGCCTTGTTCTCATTATTTCAGGCTGCAAGACATTTCTGCCTAGTCAAACTTCTGCTAAAAGTGGGCAGTTGCTGGGCTATGAGCATTATCACACATATAATCATTGTGTACTTTCCCTGCTTGGAAAGCTCACATTTCTATTTCATTTTGCAGGCTACGCTAACATTATTGTAGATCAAAATAGCACCCTCATCAGCTTTCTGAATACAGGAGATTCATTTTGCTGGGTACAAGTGCTCTTGCTGTTTCACCAGCATAATTCAGCCGCAGAACTTAAGGCTGGGCTGGGAAGTGCATTCTTTAATCATGTTAATGTTATCCTGTGGCAGTTTTCTTTTTAAATTTTTTGATTGAATTTAATGGAGGTGAAAGTCACTAGATGAATGGCTTCACAGGCAGATGCTCTCTGGCTAATCAAAAAATGATTTTGCAAAGCAAAGCTTTCCCTTCCTTGCCTAGGTATGGCCCCAGCTTGCAATGGCTTTGCAGTCCACAAGCACTGCACCTAAAGCTCAGGGACTTCTTTGAATCCTGGCTCGCTGGGTTAGATTGAAGGGCTCCTACAGGACGAAGCTGTGCCTATAGGTGTCTGACTGTCTGCCCCCCTGCAAGCAGAGGAACACTTCTAAAAGACCCTTGCTCAGTAGAGGAGAGAGACTTCAGCCCTGTTCCCACCATGGCAGAGGCTGCAGGGAGAGCTCAGTCCTCACTGAGCAGAGATGGGGTTGGAGGTTGGATGCTGTGAAAGCAAAGGTGCTTTTTGGCTTTCAGACTTTGTTTGATACCAGGACAGTAATTATGTACATAGAACATGTTCTGAGGGCATTGTTTGGGTGAGGTTATCCCACTTCTGGGCATTTCACAGAATGACAGAAAGGTTGAGGTCAGAAGGGACCTCTGGAGGTCATTTGCTCCAAGCAACATTTATTTCATCTCTCTCCCCTTAGCAGTCCCTGCTATCAAACACCATTGAGCTCTATAATTTAGCTTCAAAGCTTTACTGTCCCATATCATTAAGCCGTTGTGATATGTGATGAGTTCTGTCACCCACAGACTTACCTGCCGTGCCATCACAGGACATTTCAGAGAATCACAGAATCATCTAGGTTGGAAGAGACCTCCGAGATCACCTACTCCAACCTCTGACCTAACACTAACCAGTCTTCCACTAAACCATATCACTGAGCTCTACATCTAAATGTCTTTTAAAGACCTCCAGGGATGGTGACTCCACCGCTTCCCTGGGCAGCCCATTCCAATGCCTAGAAACCCTTTCGGTAAAGAAGTTCTTCCTAATATCCAACCTAAACCTCCCCTTTTGTGCTAGCACCAAGAGCTCCCTTGAAAAGGTTTCTACCATCCAAACTAAACACTCCTGGACTCACTACCCCACCCAGTCCTTTTGCTTTGTCCCTCCTGGTCAGATTTTCCTGTCTCCTGCCAGTATTTAACTCCTACCACCACTGCACAGAGGTATTTTTGTCCCCACAGGGACACATCCCCAGATCCACCACTGCTTTCTGAGAGCCCTGCACCACACTGCCTTGGTCAATATGCATTTGCTATGCACCAGACAGGCAGGTCCTCAGCCCTTGAGCTTCTTGCCTCATGTAGAGAGCCTTTAGCAGCCCTAGAAATCCACAGGAAGAGTGGATGTTCCTTCCTGAAGTGAATTCACCTCTCTTTGAAGGTCCCTGTTCCCCCATGGGCAATGTGGCTGTTCTGGGCATGTTTGCTTTACCTGGCAGGTGCCTCTTTCTCCTCCCTCCAGCTCAGCACACAGCATGTTCTCTGGTAGCTGCGGGATGTGCTCCAAGCACTTCTCCCTGCTGATGAGCTTCATCCGTGCTTTCTGCAGCACGTGGGATGCTGACTCCTCAGCTGCTAACCAACAGGTGAGAAGAGAAGGATTAGCAAACCCTGAAGAGCTTGTAAGGGTGAAAGCACTGTTGGAGACCTTTGGGACTGCTCTCAAGTGAATTTGTAAAGGAACTCAGGGTAAGAGGGGCTCAGGGCACAACCAGATGCTCTGGGGGCCAAGGAGGCTTACAGGGGCTGTCTGGGATATGTTTGTGCTCTTGATTAAATGCCAGCCTAGGAGATGGGTAGGTAGGTGGTGAGATGGGAGGTGTTGATGGGCAAAAATGAAATCCTGGGGAGTGGAGGCTTGCTAAATAGGATTTGAAGCAATCACTTATTCCTTTAGGCGAACTCTGGGATGTGATGGGATGGCTTATCCTCTTGGCCTTGGTGATGCTCTGAGATGAGCTGCTTGGGTTTCTCATTCACATTTCTAGGATACCCAGCTTGAATGATTTTTCACGCAGCCCTGTGTGAGCCCATGTGTGAGTTCCACTGAGCTTTCTCCAAAACAGACGACCTAGTTCTCCACATGCTCTCCTGGGGTGCTGTGAGGCCATGCCTCAACCAGGGGACTGGCCACATCTTTCACAAAGGATGGCTGAACACAACATAAATAATTGCTTTTTCCTCCTCTTGAGATGGAAAAGCAAAAATCACAGTGGGTACCAGCAAGCAATGAGAAAATTAAAAATATTCATGCAATACTCATGGCTGCATGGAAAGCCTACTCATTTCATCACCCACAGTTGTCTTCAAAATAAGTCTAAGTCTGAAGGATAAAACTGTCTTTTGAAGGATGTCACAGCTTTTCACTCCTTCTTGCATAATTCACTGAGCTAAGTCATCCCAGAACCTTCAGGAAGGTGGAACTCAAAGGTAACATCTAAAAGATGGAAACTTGTCACGCTCCTTTCCTAACTAACATGGGGCCTCTCCATGGACGTGTCCGCATACAGAAATGCTTTAATGTGGGCATCCCCAAGGAGGTGGCTCCGTGTGAGCTGGGTTTTACTGACTGCAATCAAAGAGGAGTCAGCCTGGTGCCACCTGCGGTGCCATTTGAGAGATGTCCACCTCCAAAAGATGAGAAATGACCCATCTTTCCTCCCACGCAGGAACAGTGTGTCATACTATGGTATGGCCCATATCACACCATCACATGTCACCCTCAGCAAACCCGGCTTCTCCCATTTTTCTTCTGAAACATCCCCCAGATTGAAGGGCTGGTGCACTGAGCTCCCGCGGGGTGCAGTTCGGATTGCAGAGGCAATGCCACCCTGACCACACAGCAAAATGAGGCTCTCCTCCCCAGAACCACACCAGGCATTTTGCAGAGACTAACTGAAGAGAAATCCTGCCAAGTTGCAGAGCGACTCTGCAGCATTGCCCCTGCTTTTCTGTTTCTAAGAGCGTGTTACCTTGGTGAAATGGAAGACTTTCACAACTAAAACACAGCGTTGTGCTGCGTTTTACTGTTACGTGAGGTGAATGAAGCATAAGAAGGAAAATACAGAGGTTCAGAAAGGAGATAGAAACCCTATGGGGTAAAAGAGCAAGGATTAAACGGGACGTTAACTTACCACCACTCCCAGGAAGGACTGGTAAAGCCCCAAGACACCACCCTGCCCACTCTGCCCTGATTACCCCTTTCCAATAATGAAATAGCTCATTAGCCATTTGGTGACGTTTGTTCAGGACAGACATTTTGGGTCACAGTCAGTGCTGGAGCTACTTTCATTAGGGCTTGAATGAGAGCAATTAGCAATAGCAATCTGCCTTTCTAAATGAAAGAAGAGGAGGGGGTGGTCAGAACCCTCAAATCAATGTGTTTAATGGAGGCATTATGCCAAAGACAACCCTAAATCTCCATTTCCCTTATGCCAGACCACTTTAGACCCATTATATCTCACCCAGTACAGTTGGGGATTGTCTTACTTTGGGTGCTCATAACAGCAAGCAAGAAGGCAGAGTCCTTGCAGAGCAATGGTGGGCTCTAAGGTTTCACCTGGAACATACACGCTCAGAATTTTGGAGACTTTTTCTCTGGGGGTGACAGCTTCTTGCTCTGAATGGACAGCCAGTGATGTGCAAAAGCTGCCAGGGTCTGGATGTGTTTACAAAGGAGGTAGGGAGCAGCCACTAGTATGGGTAACCCCTGCCAGGGGAGAACATCTACTTTAAATGGGTAAAAAAACAGCCTCCATTAGCAGATACATCACATCTCCCAGTGGTGTCTCACCTGCACCTGTGGCTCCCCATCCAGCAATCCAGCAGTGTTGCCATGTATCAACGTCATGCATGAAGGGCAAGCAGACGGGGATTTTCTCGTTGCTGAACTCGACGGGCGAGCTGAGCATGATCAGGGCAATATCATGTTTCATGCTTGTTCTGTCAAAGTTTTCATGGATGACCAAGCTGTCTGGCTTATGTTCTTCCAGAGGGTGGTCAAGGTTAATTCCCCCTACTACAACAGTGAGATCTGGTGGCCTTATAAACAAAAACAATAACAACAACAAAAAAGAGTAAGCATGAGCAAACATGAAGACTTTGTGTTATAAAGGTTGGTGCCTCCTTCCCCAGAGCAGCAAATTGCAGAGGCAGGTTAGCTACAGAAACCACAGAAATCTGCCCTCACTTCCAGGCAAAGCTCATTTTCAGGGGAAGCAGGAGCAGAGGTAGAACATGAATGCAACCAAGTTATAAATAGCCCAGGTGCTAACGAACAGATGGAGCGGGCTGGGTGTTCAGAATCACTGTGCCCTGGGCTGGCTGCTCCAGGCCACGCTGTCCCTGGCCAGCTGCTCCAGGTTGGGATGCCACAGGTCATTTGTCACCGAGCAGCCCTGGCTCTTGGAGCTGCCGTGTTTTGGAGGGGACTCATGGATGGTTGGATTCTGTCCCTGGGTTGATTTATCTAGAAGCTGCTGGATTAATATCAGACTACACATAAGGTAAAGGTGTTTGCTATATAAAAGCAAAAGTAATTTGGAAGTTAAAGTAAACTGGAATGGAATATACCTCTTTTTACAAGGTACCACAACCTGTGTAAATGTACAGGAACTCCTTGGGAGCCATCAGAATATAACATCATGGCCAATTATACAAGGCTGCTCACACTGTCCTTCAAAATACTCTCCTTCTGGACCCTGGTTATGCAGATTTATTCCCTTTCTGGATCTTCTGGTTATGCAGATTTCTACAAATTCTTTTTTTTTTTTTTTTTTTTTTTTTTCTTCCTAAAGGAGGAAAGGTTCTCAGTACTCTCCTTCTGGCTCCATCACATATATTCTGCACTTGATCCCAAGGATATACATACCCTACAGTCTAAGGAGCAGTGTTATCACCCCCATCACGCCTGGGCTGTCCTCATTTACCCTGAGTAGAGTAGAGTAGTGTAGAGTAGAGTAGAACAGAGCAGAGTAGAACAGAGTAGAGTAGAGAGCAGCGCAGAAAAATGAATAGAATAGAATAGAATAGAATAGAATAGAATAGAATAGAATAGAATAGAATAGAATAGAATAGAATAGAATAGAATAGAATAGAATAGAATAGAATAGAATAGAATAGAATAGAATAGGAGTAGAGTAGAGTAGAATACAATACAATAGAAGAGTTGAGTTGAGTTGAGTTGAGTTGAGTTGAGTTGAGTTGAGTTGAGTTGAGTTGAGTTGAGCTGAGTTGAAGGGACCTTCAAAGATTATCTAGTCCACCTGCCTGACATCTTTAGGGCTAACCAAAAGTTGAGGCATGTTAATGGAAGCATTGTCCAAATGCCTCTTTAACACCAATGTACATGGGGCATCAACCACCTTTCCAGGAATCCTGTTCCAGCATTTGACCACCCTCGCAGTAAAGAAAATTTCATAATATCCAGTCTGAACCTCCCCTGGCACAGCTTTGAGTTACTCTCCTGCATCCTGTAATTAGTGGCCAGGAACCAGAGGCCAGCACCTCCCTGTGCGCTTCCCCCCCTCAGGGAGCTGAAGAGAGCCGTGAGGTTGCCTCTCAGCCTCCTTTCCGCAGACAACCCAAGTGACCTCAGCCTCTCCTCACAGGACATGCCCTCCAGCCCTTTTACCAGCTTTATTGCCCTCCTCCAGACACATAAGTACTCACACCTCATCTGCAAAGCAATGGGCCGCAGTTAAAATCCACAGCGCGCTGATCATGGTGCCCCCGCAGATATGTTTCCCGTTGCTCTGGATGCTCACTTGCCACGGGAACTCCCCAGCCTTGGCGTATCTCCCCTCTGTGATCCTCTTGCCAGTCTCCAGAAAGGACTCATAAGATGGTCGGAGGCCACACTCTGGGTACAAAATGAGACACACTGCTCATGTATGGCTGCACCACTGCCTGTGATACTAAAAGAGGAGGGCAGGATGCAGGTTAAAGCACTGCTCCAGGACCATTCATGCTCCTTGTTCTCTACCAAAGCCCCTGGCATTGTTGTAACTTCCCCCCAAAATGCCTGGGCAATCTGGGGGCTAATAGGGCCATAGAGTGCTTCCCATAAGCAGGTTGGATGAAATCCTTGTTGAGGGAGTAGAATGGAAGAGTTCCGTGCCAGGTATAGTACAAGCCATGCATGTATGCCACAAGGCACGAGGAATCAACCCAGGCCAAACTCATTTACCGATGTGTGTGTATCCAGGAGGGCTACCAGTTTCTTTCTGCTGTCCACCTCTGAAGCTACCAACAGGTTCACTCTTCCATTCATTGCTGAACATAAAAACCGGGGAAGAAACGCCTGCATGGATGCTGCTGATTAAAGAAGTTAAAATCCAGAAGGTAAGGAGCAGCATTTTCATCCCACACTTGGACCGAAGCTCTTGGATGATGTTGAGGGCAGTGATGCTTCTGCAGACACATTCCTCTGCCAGGAGCAACCAGGATGTGACCTCACACGGTTCATTCTCTTTTGCTGACATCACAGTCAGAATCCAGTCTTCCTGAGACAATGAGGGAAAGCTCACACCGCCCTGGCCAGCAACTTAGTGATTCCCATGAGGTTTGGGATTTGCTTCAGCTGTGCTAGGCATAGGGCATCCTGGACTGGATTTCACTGGGTGCAATAGTGGACTTCGCAGGCTGGATGCTGTAGCCCTTTTCGGTTCTCAAACCATATTTTTCTCTTCAAAGACCTTACCTGCTGGTCCTGCATCGGTTTTCATCTTTGAGAAGTGCTGAAGCCTATTAAACCTTGGATGAATTTTTTTTAGACCTTCTCTACATCCTCAGAAGAAAGAGGCAGCTGTGTGGTGGGGCAAGGTTCAAACAGTGCCAAATCAAAAGTATTGTGTCAAAGATGCTGAGGCTGCCACTCACTTCTTCCCCAAGAACTGTGGACAACTGTTTACAAAGCCAAACACAGCTTAGAAAGCTTATCCACGAATCTGAATCATTTCACCTTTACTGATCTTGTCTCTGCTGCTATTTGTACCTCCAGCAACAACTGCAAGGCATCAAGGCCAAAATTCCACCCTAGTGCATCTCCATAATGAATTGGGTGGGGGCATAATATTCTGGTTTGTACCAGTTTTAGCATCAGTGGACCTATCTATGTTGATTTCTAAACTGATGTATTATTTCCATAGGGACAGGACTGAGAAGAACTCAGCCAAGCTCAGGCCTGAGCACAGCTATATTAAGTACAGAGCAGTGCTTCCTCCAAAGACTTTCCAGTCTGTATCAAAACAAGAACTTGCACGGAGTAGGAGGGAAGGGAGGGGAAAAGACAGAAGGGAACCGAGCAATATTTTATGAGCAAATGATGATTCAGAATATGAAATGTTTTGCCTTGTACATGGGAGCAAATCAGGAGTTATCCCACTGAAGTCTGACTTACACAGAGGTTAAAAAATGCATAGGAGGAAAGTCAGACTTTATTTTCCTCTCTTCTTTGCTTTTATCTTACCCCTTGCCTAGGAAATTGGACAAAAATGCTGGTTTCCTTGACAGTGAGCAACAAAACATTTCAGTGTCACAATGTTAACAACAGGCGATCAGTTACTCTAGCGGCTGGAAATCCCAAGTGTGATGTGAGCACATTTTGGGGCAGCTCCAGAAAAGAGCCTAGCATGATGATCCCGCCAGTGGTAGCTCCTCTCAAGCTTGCCCCAGGTATAAGTCTGCTAAAAGGACAGGTTTCCTTGGCTTTTAAGGCTGGAGTGGACTAAGCACCAGCCAAGGGGAAAGGGAAGAGGGAGAGCTAATTTCTCTGGCATGGGGTTGTTGCCCATCTTTGGATAAACCATGCAGGACTGCAGCACTGTATTTACAAGCCTGAAGACTTTTTAGAAAATCTGGACTGCTGGGTAGTTAAAGCAGGCACTCAGGGAACTGTTTTGGGTCTTTCTGAGCCTAAAAGCTGAGGTAGTGAGCAGGAAGACCCATCAAACCACAATATGGTGTGCAATGGAGACCTAGCCAAAGGGAAAATGGTGTGGATGTGTCTCTGCATCCCCATCATATGGCCCTCAAAAAACCTTTGTGCACTCCTCTGCCCTGAACTGCCATGTCAGAATAGGCTCCTGCAAGTTTTCCCCAAAGAAAAGCAAAGTTGCTCCCTTATGCACCTCTGAGGAGGCACCAATGGCACATGTGCTTCAAATTTAGTGATTAGGACAGCCTCTGAAATGGGAAATGCCTGAGAGCCCACATCTCCCACTGCTCTGAGAAGTATCATAAGCAAAAAGCTGGGCAGGTGGGACAAACCCATCCCCATCTCTCCTACTGAAGCTGTTCTTCCTCATAGGTTACCCCATAAGATATATATATACCATTATATCCAGCATCCATGTAGTATATTGCCTACATCTGCAATGTCCTTCCACTGTAGCTTTTACTCTTTTGAGATCCCCATCCATAAAAATAATATTTTTTGCCTCTTTCTGGCTGTCCTGCTATTTGTACACGCACTGGGGCAGGGACAACCCCACACAGGAACAGCCTCCCCCCCACCTCCTTGGTGTGGGCTCCACAAGTTATTGAAGTACAAATAAATAATCATAGGAATAATTGAGTTGCAGTGTGGCCAATATACTCCTCTGCACTGTCTTGCACAGATAACACAGATAAAAAAGCCCTATTTAATTAGCAGGTTGCAGCTTTTTATAATATTTGATACGTTTTCCGGATCTACCCAGACATATATTTAGAGGCATGGAACACATTGCAGACAACATTTTTCTCTCCTTTCTTTATAATTTATTGTAGTGCAGGAAACAAAATTGATTTCTTTTTGTGTTTATACATTTTTGGAACTGTCAAAAAAAGAAATATCACATTACAATTTTTACTTTTTTTTTGTACTAAAATTGCTCCTGAAAATAGGCACTATAGGTGATATTACATGTTGCTGTGAAAGCGGAATTGTATGAGAATTATGGATCTTATAAATTCATCATTCTCAAAGACATCAAACTACGGGGTTGTGATAGTTAAAATGAGCCCAACCATGTCTCCAGAAGGCCAAGCTCCAGCATGAGCAAATTCATTAATGCAAGAAAATAACGATGTCTATAAGCAGCAGCTATACAAAGCGGTTAACAGGTGCAGCCACCCCCTAATTCATCTTTTAGCAGCACTTCAAGCCAAACTTTTTGAAGTTTCTTTCCTCTCCAGATTACGAGATTGCAAGGAAGCCCAGGGAACTGCACAGAGCAATGAGCTGTGTTTGCCAACAGGTGCAATTTCTGACTCCGCTTTGGCTTTTAACACCAGTGAATTGGAAGCTGCTCAGATAACAGAAAGCCACCCCATCAGGGTTCCCAAATCTTTATGCACTGATGCTGTGGGTGTATTGGAAGACCTGTCGGGGCTGTCAGACCTTTTCCAAACAACTCCCTAGAACAAAGCGGAGGCGGTGTCGTGAGCAGCGGCTATTTCTTGATCCCGATCGGGCAGGAAATCCCCGTTCCCCCGAGGCCACAGTATCCGTCAGGGTTCTTGCTGAGGTACTGCTGATGGTAATCTTCGGCGTAATAAAACTCCGGAGCCTCGCGGATTTCTGTTGTGATGGCCCCAAAACCGCTCTCTGTCAATACCTGTCAAGAAACAACATGGAGAGCCATTAGTGGTTTGTTGGCTCCTCTGCCGATGCCTGACATTAGGTTTCCTCTCAGCAGCAGCCACAGACATCTCTCAGTGCTTGGACCACAGTTGTAGCACATCCCTGAAAGCCCTTTATCCTCGCCCGCACGTAATTTTGCTAGGACACATTGCAGGCACCAAAGCGCACGTCAGCGAGAAGAGGTAGTGCGCCCTCCAGTTTTAATGGCTCATTTGTTTAATTTGCTCTGGCCACACATTCGTTCTCTCCTCTTTATCAGCCACACCAGGCGAGGATGTGGTGCCATCAGCAGAAGTGGAAAACAGATGTGAGAGGCAGCAGAGCAGACTTTGATCGAGCCTGGCTGCCTGCCTTGCAGGGGTCTGAGGACTTCACCTGGCAGGTGCCTCAGCTTGGAAACGTCTCTTCCAGCCCAAACTGCCTCATGCCAAGAAGAATTTTGGTATGAAATTTGAGCCCCACTGATGTCAGTGGGAAATAAGAACATTTGGGCTCTTTTCACAGTTCCTGCAAACCCCTTCTTCAAAACGAACGCTTCCACCATGGCCAGAAGGTACTTTTAAGGCAAATTATGGCTCATTTCTGAAAGATTTGCCAACGCGTGGACCAGTAGCAGTAATCACTTTGCAGGAAAAGAAGGAATGTGGGTGGGGATTTTAAATTAGACTTTAACTTCTGATATCCCCTAACTGAATTTGAAACTTCTGAAAGGTTTCTGATGGAGGAAACTTTTTTCACATGACTTGTCATACATTTTACCTACTGATTTTTTCTTTTCTAAGGAAAGTGGTGAACGCCAGCATCTTGGAACCAGTCCTCATCTCAATGGGGACATAACTCATGTTCACTGCAGTCCATGATAATCTAATAAGCACTTTAATTGGTGTCAGACGACAGTGTTTGCTGTTGCAAAGTACACCTGTGAAGCACCAGATGTAGGTAGAGCTGCGTCGCTATCAGCCAGCCTTGACAGCAAGATCAACTTTAAGAACAAAGGGTTAGCAGATAAACTGATTACCAGACAAATATGTGTCATCTTATCATACTGAAAAATAAAGCCAATAAAAGGAAACCATCACACAGCAGCACAAAACCAGACCTGGAAGGACCTGTAGTAAGTCATCTAGTCCTGCTTCTTTCATCATGGTACAACTCACAATAGCCACCTTACTCCCAGCAGACATTTAGCTATTCCTCAGAGATCTTCAGATACTCCAGGTCCCTTAAAGAGTCCATTCTAGTTACCATAGTGACCATCATAGTTATTGTAGTTATCACAGTTACCATCCATTTAGAAAGGCTAAAGGGTAGCCTGGATTAAGCCCACGATTTCCATTTAAACACGCTCTTGGTCATATTCATCATGGATGTGGAAAGGAAATTATTCCCTTCCTCTTTATATTGGTCTTCTACATACCGGATGACTCTTTTTTAGGGGGTGTAGGGACAGGACAAGGGGTGAAGACTTTAAACTCAAAAAGGGCAGGTTTAGCTCATTCACGGTATGATCCTGTATTTGAATACAGAGGGATAACAAGCCCAATTTCAGAATCTGGCCATATTTCCCCACATTTTCATCTTTGGGACAGGTTTTGTCCCAGGGGAAGCAGATTACTTACCTGTCAGATGTATTAGCAAAGAAGATAAAAAATATGAAGGGATGTATCACAACAGGTTGGCAACCACTAACAATGAGGTGTCAACACAACTGCTTTTAGAAGCAGTATTTCACTTACTTTCTAACATTTCTGGCAAAGAAAAGCACTTTTAACATTATCTTCACTGCAGAAAGATGGCACAAACTCTGTCATCATGGGCATTAGTCATTTACTTGCTGCTGTAAATGCATGCAAAATTGGCTTCCCCCCTCGTCTGAGTCATGAGGATGCTGCTGGAGGGATGAATATTTTTCTACTGTGCAAAACAGTATTTGTTACAGATTTTTACCTGGGACTTTTCCATCATTGGCCTAATTTTGTCAGCTAGAAAATCCATTCTGTTCAATAACACACCACAAGAGGGCATAAACATCATTTATCCCTTTCAGAATTACTAACATCCTATTAAAACACTGCACGCTAAATAGAGCAGAAGCCCAGGACAACTCATTATATTGCACTTTGGTCATTAGCAAAAGATACCAGCACTCTTGTCAGAGGCAGTGGGAACCCCAGGCTCCAACACTTTGCCAAACACTACCTTGAATGTTTTGATTTTAAATGGGAAAATATTTTCCTCGCACTTACTGTGTCAGTGCAAAGATAAAAACATCACTGGGAAAGATGATGAAGTTCATGATGTGCTGGCTCTGGCAGGTGTAAATCAGCCCACTCTTGATTGATTTCCTGCCACAGAGGCAGACATAATTTGACAACAATCCTGTTCTAGCAGACTTTTGAGTCCTCGCTTTTTAGTCCACACGATTCCTGAGCCATCCAGTGTGAGCTCCCAGTACGATGCTGCAGCCAAAAGGGCTACTGCAGCATCTGCATGGAGAAATGGGAAGGAACAAATGAGAGAGAGTGGAATCAACCCCTGGGACATTTCCCACAGTGCAGGAAATTTTTAAAATACTATTGGATCTTTTTCCCTAAAAAATATTCCACTGCAGTTCAAACAGATCCAATTCATTAATTCATTCAAGGGACTTCTGTGGCTTTTGTCATGCAAGAGATCATACTGGAAGATCACAGCCATCCTTTAGCTGACTATAATCCAGCCCCCAAAAAACTGGCAGGCTTCAGCAGACAGAGGCCAAACCAAACCAGAACCCAAGTCCTGCCCAGCCAAGAAGGACGAAGAGGACACAGCCAATTCAGTACATCAGGATTGGTGCTAGAGCACGAACATGTTGGAGCCAGCGCTGGGAACCACAGTGCTACCACTTTTTTAAACAACTTGTACTTCTGGAATGTAAAAGATTTTGTTTGATGAGTTTTCTAATTTACTATAACCTGCAAAAGTTTGTGGTTTTTTTTGTTCTGTTTTCCCTGTTATTTGCTTTGAACTTGCTTCCTGACCATGCCTTTACATCCTCTGCTGCAGAAACTAATTCCTTATTCTCTCTGTCCATGGAGATTTTGGTTTTACACCTCTGCCTTAATCCTGCTCAGTCATTTCTTCTGCAGGCTTCAGGGTTTGAGGCTGTTTAGACTCCCCACTCATAACTCAGGTCAGCCTTCTTGCCCTTTTCTGCATCCTTTCTGGTTCTATTTTACCGCCTCATTGAGGTGGGGTGACTGGAATTGCACTCTATTCAAGATCACTGCGGATTTACTCAGTGGTGTACTTACATTTTCGCTTTTATTCGCCATCTCTTTCCCAGAAATTCTTTGCATTCCACTTGCCTTTCTGACCTCTGCTGAGCACTGAGCAGACGTTTTCAAAGAACCATCTGCAATGATGCCAGGACCTCTTTTGCGGGCTAATTTAAACCCTATCATTGTGTCTGCACTTGACTTTTATCGACATGGAATTTCAGCAGCTATTTTATTGCCCAGACATTTGATATTGTCAGATTCCTCTGCAACTTTTTGTAGTCGTGTCTACTTTTGCTTACATGGAATAACTCTATACCATCAGCAGATTGCAGCACGTCACTGTCGACTGTCTTCCTTTTCCAGCTCTTTTATGAGGATATTGAACTGCACAGGTTCCCAAGGCAGATACCTGGTAATCTCCCTTCATTGTGAAAACTGCCCTGTTATTTGTATCTTTTATTTCCTATCAATAACCAGTTATTCAGAAGGGAAACTTTCCTCTTAATCCACAGCAGCTGGCTGCCTTTAACTCACCAGATCTCTTCAGAAAGCTACGTCTGCAAGACAAGAGTTTCCTCTTCTAAAGTCACATCGATTCTTCTCTGAAACACCCTATTCTGTGTGTGTCTACCAATGTCTGATCCTCAGCCTGCAGTGCAAAATGCCTTTAGTTCTGCTGGATCATCTTGGAGGCTTCTTAAGCACTTTCCCTCCTGGTGGCACCAGGGCTGGAGGTGTGCACTCAGGCACTGTTTAGAGCAGGGCTGCTGCTGTACTGTGCATGCGCAGGACCAGCAAGTGGCACAAACTGTCAGTAGACACGACCTTGGACATGCACCACCATGGATTGCAGCAATCAAACCCTATTTTTTTTTCCATTTGTACTTTGTCCGTTGGTTATCCAACCATCTGCCACCTAACACAGTACTCCCAGCCCCATCTCAGTCATCATGAGGGGCACCCATGATGCGCAGATGCAATTAGAAAGGCTTTTAAGGGACATCCTCGTATTTTGTAGTGACAGTACCATCTTCCAGACATTCTCTCTTTATTACCCAAAGGCCATGCACCGAGTCACTGGGACTCAGCACAGTTTGCATGTCAGTGAAATCAGGTTGTTCCACATGTTCAGCTCAGTTGTGCTAGGTGAAGTGAAATGCTGTCCTCAGAAGGGGAGTTTATATGCTAGACTGCCAAGGAATAAACCAAACCTGTGTAACCAGAGGGTTGTCCTTCACTTATTCCCAAGCAATTCTATTTAGCACGTGGTGCTCCTGCACTTGGATTTGCTGCTGCCCTCTGAACTGACAATAATTGCTGCTTCAGCTTTTTGTAGCCAGCTGATTATATTGAGCCAAAGTCTGTCAAAATATTTAATCGTTTGACATTACAGCATGGCAACAATGCATTCAAGGTGTTTGGCTCCTTGTTTATATTCGGATAGAAGTAGCTGGTGCTTGTAAAGTGCCTTAAGAATTGGGAATGAACTCCCAGAAAATACATGATTCCCTTGTACCTCCAAATACTTGAAGGACTGGACTGGAAGCCATTGGCGTTTTGGTAAATTGTGTTGAAAATGCACAGTTCATGGAAGTTTAGAGGAGGGGTTGAACCCACTTATAATTTTGACAGAAAAAGCTTTAGAATTGGTTTTGTTAAATGAAAGCATTTAATTTTCTGAGCAGAGGCATTAGTAAAGCAGTGGAGCATTAAT